TTTTAGAACCTTGATATTTATTACCTCTATATATTCTCTCTTTATTTAGGGTATAGATAATGTTTATTATGAGACTGAATACAGAAGAGAATGGTGCACCAGCAAGGGGAAACCCTCAACATGCTTCCTTTTTGCAAGGAAATTCACGAGGCCTGCTGCTCTACGACTTCTTAATATGGTCAGTGTCATACTCTGTTTCTCTTTCTATGTCATTGTAATACAATTCAAAGGGAACCTACAACTTATGGATAACATCGCGTGTTTGGCTAAGAATTTTACTCCTTAAGTAACTTTATTAGCCAAACATGTTTGAGAGGTTTTTCAAGAAGTTACTTTTTTAAATTTTTAGCACACACAGTCACTTTTTTAATTCTATGCCTTCCCAAACATGACATATATGTAAAGTTATGACATGAATTTCTTGTATTCGAGTTGTTACTCTGATTTTGCTTCGGTTTTATTGATCGAATACTTCTGGAACTTTTATGAGCGCAGTCTGCTTTAGGAGTTTCGATTGAAGCAAGAAGCTAAAGCTGACATATATTGGTGCAGTTAATAGCCATTGTAAGTTCAATTTCAGGTAGAAGACAACTTAGGATTAACCAAACTGTCATGGATGAAAGAGACTTGTAAAAGGGGGGAGAAGAATTATTTAATGTAGAGTGGTGTATATCATATTACTGTTGTTGTACCATGTAATAAAGGTGATTGTATTGATATATGTTTTACTTCATTTGTTGGGAAATGAAAATCCACATCTTTTGGAAGTCAAAGTTCATTGCAAAAGAGATATTTAGGGGGTGTTTGGAAGTGATTTTTCACCCTCAAAAATTTGATTTTTTAACCGTTATTTTACTATTTCAACCGTAAAACTTGATTTCTTCTCTCATAGGTGGCCCTCACTTTTTTCAATCAATTCTCAAAATCGCTCCAAAACGGGGCCTTAGTTATTCTCATTCACGATTCAGATCCTTTTTCTTTCCTTGCTATTACAAATAGAGCGTGAGACGAGAAAGAACAATTACTAGATTTTCATTGCATATATGTATGTATATATGTAGTTTACAGATCACTTATAATTATGGTGGGCTTCAATTGTAAGGATTGCAAACTATTCTACACTCTCCATCCCATTCGTATGGTTTTTTTTTTTTTTTTTTTTTTTTTTTTTTT